AGAAACAACAATTTTGCTAAAATCATGAATAGCATATCATTCGAAAAAACTGCATTTCGAAATTCTGAAACATATAGAAAACTACATAGAATTGAATTCTCTATCAATTCTATTTTTTTTCTCTATCTACATCGAAATTGAAACAGTGTGAGGAGGGGACGATAACTACAGGATTTTGGAGCCCGTTCTCTTAAAAAAAAAAGCTATGAAGAAAAACAAACTTCATCAACGATCATCTTCAAATGATGCCATAATTAAAAGTGAGAATAAAACAAACCAGTGTAGTTAGATCAATCGAGCAAAATCTATTAATTATGAGTACGATACTACAAAAAAATACCCTTACTCTTGACTATGTAAAACCATGCTAGCACCGAATTCGAAATTGAAATACATATATATATATACTCTAGACAATATCCTGATCACCCAATACTTTCAGTCTTTTTCACTTGCTCGTTTATGACATGTCAGAAATTCAAGTAAATTTCAAAAAAGTGTTCGATCATCGCAGAATAGCTGATATTTCAACACATTAACTTTGTACCGTCATAGATACAAAAATATATTGTCCTTGAATCAGATTAACATTTATCGGGAAAAAAACTGAATTGCTGACGTGTCACAAACGAGTAAATATTCAGCATATCATTCAGAGGTAAAAATATTTTTCTAAGATAAGGATAAATCGTCCTTAAAAAAACCTATGCGATAAAAATTAGCATCCACTTTTATAATACTTACATAAACGTACTTTAACAATTTTACAACTCAGTAGTTTTTTTCTGTGAAAGACTAATTTTCAATGAAGGAAACCTCAAAACATATGAAAAAGTGTAAATTTTCTCTTATAGGTGACTAATTTGATCTCTGAGGCGTAAAAATCGTGCTTGTAGTATGTAAGACAAATTTTTTTTTATATGACTGTCACGCTTCGTTTTGTAAAACGAATTGAATTAGAATACGAACGATTGGTTTTTGTACGGAAATTCAAACATTATTTTTGTGAGTGTGGAATTGACTGTATTTTGTTTCGTCACATTTATCTGTTTCTTTGATGAGATAAGGCAATTTTTGTCGTATAAAACACTAGGTGTAAAACAATCCAGACAACGAAACTGTCAAGAAAACTTACTTTAACACTAATAATTACGTTTAAAGAAAGAAAGAAAATTTCTATTTCAACTATGTTTTATTATCTTGAATATTAAATAATAACAACTATATAGCAAAGAGATTATGTTTTTTCGTTGAATAAAATAAGTAAAAACATTTTTTGATATCTTATACTAAGGATAAGTAGCTCTATAAAATATCTAAATAAACAAGTTCAATTAGAATTGTTCCATAAATTCTAATTTCATGTTCATTCATTAGACATGAAATTCTCTATTATGACACTTTGAATGTACACATAATATATACGAAAATGAATATATGTCTCATAAATATTGTCATGTTACATGATCAATTGTAATAAATGAAATGACTTATTGTTAGAGAAGAACACAATATTTAATTCTGTTTTTTATTCATCAATCTACAGGAACACGCATTAGTCGAAGAATATTTTGGATATATTCCTATCCAATCCCATTTCAGATGGAAGAAAAGCATGTCCGATATAAGCACATCGCTAACAAATTTATTTTCTAATCTTATATTATGTTTTTTGTTTTACATCAGATAGACTAACCGAAAAAATCAATAACAATGGAAAACAAACAAAAGCTTAAAAGAAGTGATTATTTAGTTTTCCAAAATCACAGAGTTTTTGTTTGTTTTTAAAGTAATTTGGTAGTAAGAGGATGTAAAAAAAATCAGCATTGAACACAAGCTTAAAAAAAACACAAAAATAAAAAAATTGAAAAAATCAGCTAGTTCAATTGTTTTTTTTCATCAAATCAATCACAGAAAACTGTTCACAGAAATAACAAAAAAACAAAAACTCCTCAACACATTGCAAAGAGAAGAGAGATGGAATAAACGAATATATAAAAATGATCGTTCTGGTTTTCAGTTGATAAGCTATAATTTTTGTAATTAATTTAACAAAAATTTAGTGAAGTATACATCAATGTATTGTATGAGTAAATCTGCTTTGTGAAAAAAAGAAGAACAAAGATATGTTCCATTTTACATTTGGGTATCCATCAGTTCGCCAAACGAAAACGAATTTGAGTGCGTAGAATTTGAACGACTTAAAACTGAAATGAAATGTAAAATAGTATCAGAAATGGTATCAGATAGCAATGTATTCTATATTAAAGCATTAGAATGAAAATTGATAATCCGTAATAGTGTTCATTTATCATTCTAATTTTAACATTTATATTTGATATGACGTCTTATATTATTTGATAGTTTTAAATCGTCTATGACAATGTTACAGACTGATCTTCTTATACTAGCATATACAAGCATGAAGATAAACTTCTGTATGATTTCCAGCTCAATACATTCTCTTTGTCGTTTTGAATGACAGCATTGAAAAGCATATGAGCATTAAAACAGTCTAGAGTCTTGTCCAGCGGGATAGACAAGCTCGAGGCAAAAAAAAAGAGAAAAAAAAATCATGCTCCATAAACAAATTGAGCAATTATATTATTAGTCGATTTTCTATCATAGTCTTGCATTACAAATTAAAATATATATTTCAGTATGTAATATTCGCGTGTTGATTTTACAATTTATCATTATTTGCATGAAAGTTCATTTGATGATCAGGATCATTATTATCATCCATACTTTCTTCAATAAAATAAGTTCATTGACGTTTTGTTAGTGACAATGTAGCATGTTATTAATGACAAATTTTGTTTTCGTTTTTTGAATTCTTCTTGCTTTATTGTGCAAACATTAACAAAAATACCGCTCGCTGTAGTTGTACCCTACACTATCAACATTGTTCCTTTCAATATGTGAAACAAACGGTTACGAATTGGAAAAGTTCGTACTTTTTTCACGAGACAGACATGTTCAGACTTATGGTCTCGGGACAACAAAAACGTTTACCGCCCAGGACTCTATAGTAGAAAGGGCAACATTGAACGAATTTTAAGTTGAATTTTAGTTACAATTTACTAATTAATTGTTGGTTTTAACCATTTCAAACTGTAAAAATTATGAGCAGACTTACATGCCCATTTAAGTTAGTACCAAACGAGCTAAAATAAAGATTCATGAGACATATCACATTTATCTCGATGTGAAGTATATTTGCCCACATCTTTCAGATATGGAGTTGGGAATAAGTGAATACTCTCCTAGATCAACAGTTATTTTTTATTCAGTAAATTCATCAACGGTAAGACTGTTCTAACGAAAAATTATCCATAATCGACAATTTACTGACGACCCCGATAAACAGATTCATTGAGAAAAAAACTACTGTGAAAAAAAAAATACTTTGTCGACTTTTATATTCTTCCTTACGATCTGACAACAATAATTATTAATTCTGTTAATATTAGAGAGGTCCCACAACTACAGATAGTTTTCGACGACAATCTGTTTCTAATGAATAATGTCAGACTTAGTAACTTCTATATCATAACGAATTTAGCATCTGTTCTACGATAGTGGTATAGAAATCATAATATATTTGACAGACGTCATTGTCATGTCGATGTATTTAACGGATGAGTAAGATTAAACCGGTCACTTTTGTTTTCTGATTTTGAGACACTAAAAATCGTTTTAAAACCCGGTTTTGACCTCATTCAATAGATAATTCATTGCTCTACAAAACTATCGACTTTGTTTTTACAATAAATTTTTCTTGTCAGCGCAAAATTTAAAAGACTCAATCGTCCAACTGCGATTTCTTGTTTACTGTAGAGATCAATCGATTTGTGTAAGCCTATATTCATCAAGTTCGATGCTAAAAGTAAAGCATTTAACACCAATAGATAAAGAATTTTGTGCTCTATGCTTTCACGACCTTTTCAAGGTTCCTGGTGCTATCGTTCAGGAGAAATAGGCTTGGAACTAACACTTAATGATATTTTTGGAAAATCATGTTTTCCAAAGCCAGATGTGGCCTCTGAAACGTTTATTCTCAAGTGGTCGCATGTAGAATTTGATTCTGAACAAATTGGTGTGACTGTCAAGTTGAAGAATGAAAACTTTTTGATTGTTCGAATTAGAAAAGAACAATGATAGTCGGAAAAGGGATTTTTTTCGGTTTTCACATTTTGTACTTCAAATATTTTTCTCGCAAATATTTCTTCTAAAATTCTGAAACATACATGAAAAAATGCAGAATTTTACAGAAAACGTGATGGTTTATTTGAAATTTCAGCGGAACCATTATAAAAAAATTTCATCATTTTTTCGTTTTCTGAGCGTCGCAGTTGGACGGTTGAGTAGGTCTTAATCTTTTAAATTTTTCACCGACAAGGAAAATTTATTTGAAAAACAAAGTCGATAGTTTTGTAGAGCAATGACTTATCTATCGAATGAGGTCAAAACCGGGTTTTAAAACGATTTTTCGTGCCTCAAAAACAGAAAACAAAAGTGACCGATTTAATCTGGCCCACCCGTTATAATATGCTTTATAAAGGATAAACTTTGACTAATTCAGATAAAGAACATTCAAAAAGATCAAGCAGCATGGAAAGAGCAAACATTGTATTGAATGAACTAAGGCTTACCATAGTAGTTTTTTCGAAGGGGAAAGAGCCTATGCTGTACATCCTGTACATGTTTTACACATTCACTGTGCACTTGACTGACATGTAAACCCTCGAGGTGACAATTTCACATTTCAGTGCTGAAAGCGAGATTTTTTTCATCAAGCGTTTGAAATAAATAATTAATCTTGATAGTAATAACATTTTTGTATAGTAAGGAGAGCTCATGAAAATTTAACTTTCTTACTTCTTCTTACAGTATTAGAAAATGTCAGTCATTCACAAAATGTTAGTACGAAAAAATAAATCTATTCCATCAGGAAGCATGATGGTTGTTACTCGAGTTCTCAAACTTCATATTGATATTTAATAATGAAAATTTTTTTCATTGCATGTTCTTCGACTCAGCTCACCTTCAAATGTAGTAACAAGAAATTTCATCAAGTCAGACATTGAAAGAACTCCAACAATGTGATAATCATCATCGACCACTATTAGCCGATGAACCTTTAATCAAAAAGTGGAATAAATCACAAAATAACTAAACTGTTAATCTCAGTGTACATCTACATACCTCTCTTGTAACAAATCTATCCATGATTTCAAATAACTGGTCACTTTTTTTACATGTTGCTAGTTGTCTTGTTTCTTTATCATGAATTGTATTCAATGCCAATTCTAATGGTGTATCCAAATTTGTGTAAGTACGTGTAGCCGCTAAATGCTAAAAAAATTAAAGAAAGATATAGTTTTATCTATAAAATTAGATTAATTTTTCTAAATCACTAATACCATGACATCAAATTTTGAGTAAACATCTTTTAAACGCTTTGATTTATCGACAACGGGTAGTGCCGATACCCTTAAATTTTGAAACATTCGTAAAACATCGATTAATTTTGTATGTATGTCAATCTAAACGAGAGAAAAAAAAAGAATTCATGAAATATACAGTTCGTTACTCTAAAATACGTACACGAACGTAAATATACTAGAAATTTGTCGCGCACTTTTATCCAAAAGAACAATGGAAATTTTATGGTGGTCAACATTTAACTTTTCCAGATGTTGACGTAATTACATTATTTTTTTCATTTTTCGAAAAGACAGAACGAAAAAACGTATACGTGACTCATTTGAGGATGAATAATGTAGTGATATTTGTCAGTAAATTATTGTGCAATAACCATTTTAGTATATATATACAACTATAAGTTTTACATTTTTATAATAAACTTTTACGTGAATTTCTCCATAACAATGTCCAATATTTATCAAGACGCCGATGATTTTGAAGTTTTAACCGTCGAATCTACTCAACCATTTGAAATAATTGATGCAACTGACCTAAATACGAATGATAAACAGTCATTTTTACTAACAAAAAGTGAAATTAGAGAGACAAGCACACCATCTACTGTTCATGCTAATTCTTCGCAACAAATTCAGCCTGTTATTACTGTTCAACTTAACGCAAGTCCATCAAACGAAAAAAAATTAATAGAGAATGATGATGCACACAAGCAAAAATCTATACAAGCTAACATGATACCAACTACGGTGATGTCTACTCAAAACTCATTGAAGAAAAGTGACAATGATAATAAGAAAATATCAGTTCATCCAACAATACTGGTACAACAACCATTTACAATAAATGAACAATTAGAATTATTAAAAAAGAAAGAACAAACATTAACATATCTCCCAAAACGATATGGTGCAGCTGCTAATATTCCACATACTTTCAATGATAGTTTTGATGCAAATTCCATAATTGACAAAACAAAATCTCAAACATCGAATTATTTATTAGCCACTAATGGAAACAATAATATTTTAGATTTATTGAAGAAAAAATGATACAAAATAATTTTGGTTGATTATGCAACACTAATATCATTCTCATATAATATAACTTGCAACTTGTAGAAGTATATTTTCTTATCTATTTTCTTATTTTTTTTCGAGTCAAATATATGTATATGATGTAAAGCAATCATCGTATTTATCGTAGATAACAGTTTAATTAAAAATGATATTGAAACTTTCTCTTTCATTCATGAGAGAATAGAACGCTTAGATGGGAAGCTAGCAATGTTACTGTTATTTGTTTTCGACAATTTTGAGCGAACAACGGTATAAAAACGATGCATTATAACGGCAGAATCCCATCAGATACAATCGTGCAATAAACTAACAGTTCCATAATCACAATATTTGTTATATTCACAAAAAGGTTCGACAAATTTTTAATAGATCAAAATTTTCAAAAGTCTAGCGGTGTGTCAAAAGTCTAGCGAGTGTCAATATTTAGGGCAGGAAGGTTCTTCTTTTTCCCATCCATAATGGATAGCCAGTAAATGCAACAAAACTAAAGGTTTAAGCAGCCAGTTTCAATAATTATCATCATATTCAAACGATACGACTCAGATTTAAGAGAGACTCTTATCGACCCTTATGACTATGGATTATAAACAAATTCACATTTGCTGCTGCTGGGAAGGCATTCTATTCAACATGGCGAGTCAATTTTCCTATAAAATCCACGTCTTAGGGTCCTGCGGTCACTTAGTTTCAGAATTAGGGAACGTATTGTGCAGCAATGTCAAAATATTTCGAAAACTGCTCTTTTTTCTGTTAGTCAACGAATTGTTTCAAATAATATATAATTCGATAGACGACAAAAAACGGAGTATCGTACTTAATAAAAAAATTACTTTTATCTATATCTGTAATCCAACGTAATAATAAGCTCATTTTGTAGATTGAAGAGTCCGCAACAAAACAAGCATAGAAAAAAAATAGAAAAAAAGTTATGCAACATTATGATCATGTCATCTAAACACTATTTACTTTTAAAATACATTTTTTTAAAAACTAAATCCTGACTATTCTAATAAACTAACACTAGATTCGTAACCAATACGGGAAAAAATATCGAAAGCGTAGGTATTATTTAATTATTGAATAAATGAAGTTAGTCCTAGGGTCCACTGTCATTTCTTGAATATGTTGATCATCATCTGATTCCGGTTTATAAAGTATGAGTCTTTGCTTAACTAAAAAAATACTTTGTTTTGTAGCCGATGTTGTATTTTTTGAAAATGGTCATCATTGACTATTGGTCGTAAAAATGGCTCAATTTTTTACCCAATAGGAATCAATACATGAAATTCAGATAAGTGACAGTCATTGCGATATTTTAGTGCACATATAAACGCATTCATCTTACTTAACTCACCAGTCATTTACACTTAGATGAAAAAAAGTAAAAATAGTATACTATGGGAATCAGGAGATGCTGGAGCACGGTTAATGACCAGCATATGATTCAAACTATATTCCCACAACATTTTCAATAAATGACTATCAAGATTCTTGAATCAACTTTTCTGAGAAAGTTTACAAGACGATAACATAAGCAGAATTTGATCGTCCTATATGATTAAAACTAATTTTTCTTACTTACCATAATAAGATCATCATATAGACCAATCTTCAATTCATCTAATGTTTTATGAATAAATGTTGGTTGAGGAAGATCGTAGATCTAATAGATAAAGATATTTAAATAATAGTAATAGATTTGTCAGACAATGTTTACGTATAAATATAAAAACTTCAATATTCGTTTATGTGTAATCAAACAGCAATAATCTTTTGTAACAGGATCAATAATGGGTATCCGATGTACTTTACGATTAATTATTGTTAATATGGCTTTGTATATACTAGAAAACAAAATTTGTATATTCAATTTTATAAAAATTGAAATTTTTAATTATATTTATTCGTTTGTAATATTTCGACCTTAAACGGCCATTCTCAAACAAGAATCGAACAACAATAGCAAAAACGTAACCTTATAATATCACAAACGAATAAATATGATTAAAAATTTAAAAACAGCTCCAATTATAATTGCTTATTGTCAAAAACTATTGCCCTTATACTCAGCAAATGTTGATTTTAGTATATTTTACTACATATCGCAAATAGTTTTTTCTCATCTTACCTATCATCTGGACTTAAATGTATGATTTTTGTTGACGATTGACCCTGTTGTAATTCTTCTCTCCATTGTAATATTGAAAGTGTTTCTAATGTTTCCATACTTTTCTACACATTTGAAAATGAAAGAATATTTATTTTCAATAAAGGAATAATCTCAATTAACCTTACTCACACATTTAGCATCATAAAATTTAATCAAAAGAGCAATAAAATCTGAAATAGTTAATAAGCCAATTGTTGATGATGTTGCTGCATGCCAAACAAGAGCAGCTCGAACATTATTGTAAACCAAGGCAAAGAATGCTTTACGAATCGATAATCCTGCATCTAACAGTAGCACTTTCCCAGATTTTGGCATTACATCGTAACATGTATGAGTTTGAAAAAATGATTGATAAATCTCATCGGAATCTAAACAAATAACGAATATTTCTAATTGAAAAAAAGGAAGTAACTACTAAGCAACATACTTATTCGATAAAAACTGTCGTGACGAGCACGCTTCTTTCGAATATCCTATGATATAAATAACATACTTTACGTTTTAGAAGACAAACATATGGATTCTGTTAATTCACTTACAGAAAGTGCTGTGGGATCAATAACGACATAGTTATCAGACATCGTTTAAACAAATAGTATGGAAAAAAATTAATTGAGCGTTGTAGATGTTTGTTAATCAGAAATATTTCGCATCTAAAATAAATTTTTCAAACTTCTGTTTCTCACATGTACACGTTAAACTTGTCTGCATATACCTTGAGATTAAGAGCAGCAAACCAAGAGTTGAATGATAGATCGGTAACGAGAGAACCCTCCCACGTGGTCCACCCCGTTTTCAACCATATTTTGCCGATATGTAGGGCTTATTATCCTGGGAAAAAGCTAGTCATCTACTAATAATCCCCAAGAATTCAGACCATGGGCGGCGGAACGATTCCAGTTTAGGGTAGGCTCATATTTTCGGCCAAACCACCGTGGAGAGTGGTTTGAAAGTCGGTTCGCTTTATTTGTTTATAATGGTGAACTCTACAGGTCATTTAAATTGTTCGATAAAATGTCAACAGAAGCAGAATTTCCATCAGAATCATTATTTGTCTTTTGTTTTTTATTTTGAGAAAAAAAAATGTAATCTGACTCTGTTTAGCCAACATTGGTACATAGGAAGAGTACTGTTCTTTAATTACTTAAAAGTCAAAAGTTATTTTGAATATAAGTTTTGAACAATAGTTAAATTATCTTATATTGAAAATAAAGAATTCGACGTAAATATATACGTCAACGAAAACCAATCAGTATGTCACTAGACACAAGTGATAATAGATAAAATATGGACGACCTTGTAATAACGCGTCATCTGTCAGAAGAACATAAAAACTAACTAATATTAGAAAATTTTAACATTAAATCGACTCTAGTCAAGCCTTTATCTGTACTAGTTTGAGCCTACCCAAGCCTTTACCTCTCCAACCTAGGGTAGGCTCGAGGCCTACCCAGGGCTCGTGGCTCCGCCGCCTATGATTCAGACCTTTAGCTTTTATACTGAATGAATAATAGAATCGTGATGTTTTTGTCTAAGCGTCTTTTCTCGTTTTTACTTTTTAATCTAACGTTTATTCTACGAAATATGTTAGACGTTCTGTGTCTACAATAAAAAGAGAAAATAGTTTGAAGTATTAGAGTCTACAGTAGATCTATATTATTGCGCAGTATTTTTGACTATGTAAAATATAAATGCGTAAAATAAACGTTAGGTCAAAGAATAAAAACGAGAAAAGACGCTTAGACAAAAACATCACGATTCTATTCAGTATAAAAGCTAAAGGTCTGAATGCTTGGGGATTATTAGTAGATGACTAGACGGTGATGAGACTAGACGTTTTCTATAGACTAGACTAGATGACTAGACTTTTTCTCAGGGTAATAAGCCCTACATCTCGGCAAAATATGGCTGAAAACGGGTTGGACTACGTGAGACGGTTCCCTCATGAGTGCTTCCCCGATTTATCCTTAAAATATATTTGATTATGGATTTCTATTGCTGATAACGAATACAATATCTTATTTGTATTAGAAATGGTTTATTTAAAGTTATTGGTAGATTTCTGGAGAACCAACTATAACTGATACAGAAAAACAAAAGGAATCTAGCAAATAAGGAGATATCTCTTTCCACATAAGATATATCATGTGCGGCACAGTATTTCGTCTCAGCGCGTCACTAGAAAAGAAAGAGAACAGAAAGATATGCATGTAGGAAAAGAGATATCCCCTTATTTGCTAGTTCTTTAATATGATTAGGAAGAAGAATACTGCGCCTTGAAGCTACCGTTATAGATGTAGAATGCTGCTGAATGGCAGTTTCAATAGTCTGATATCTTTTCTACAGTTAACAAGCTTCTGACATGCCCACCCATATCGTCACTAGTCATCAACTAGAGCTCGGACCAGAAAACTAGTCTGAGTTCTTTCGCTTAATTGTTTGAACTATCCATAAATACTCATTCATCTATCTTCTCAGAAAGTTACAAAGACTAAGTAAATGAACTGTTTTGTACTTAACAATGTAATGAATATGCTGTCAGACAAGTAATTTAAGACACTAAGACATAAGTAACTTACACAGGCTTAGTACACGACTTGACGGTGTCGAGAATAGCACTTCAGAAATGCGTGAGGAACAACGTAACTGCTGCCTATAGTATAATTAGAAGTGGATATTGAAGCCGCCGCTATCAGTATCAAAAATTACCCTTAATCAACTATATTTCGAGGAAGAATGAAAAGAACACTTAGCGACCTTCTCTTGTAGATCATTTCCAAAGGAGTTTAAAAAGTTGTTTACTAATTAAAAATAAAAGAAAACATTCATCTAGAAAAATGTAGGACTGACAAAAGGCTTTTCTGATATCTATATTAAATGTAGAAACTTGAGCAACGTGGCTCAGTCGGCTAGCGGGCAGACAACATACACCAAAAGTACCGAGTTCGAATCCCGGCAACGGTAACCGCGTGATAGTCTTGGACAAGCTACCTCATGCTCGTTGTCTCGGTAGCTTGGAGCACAGATGCAATGGGGTAACCCGATTTCAGTGCTCCTTGGACCGGAGAGATGAGGATTAAAAGTTTAAAAATAAAAAAAAAATGTAGAAACTGAACTTTAAAAAAATGAGAAAGAAATTATTACACATGACTCGTATTGCAATCACTGTAAATTTGAAAAGTCTGTGGTTTTTTCATCTACTTTTCTCTGAATTACATACAAAAGTTCGTTCTGTTCTTGAGTAAGATCACGATATTATCATGGGATTTTCAACACAAAAGCTGTCAATCAGATCCGTGCTTTTTCACACACTTTACTCGTTATTTTCACGGATCTGACTGACAGCTGCAGTGTTGAAACACCCGTGATATAATCACGGGCCGTACCCAGTGATGGAACGAACTTTTGTATGTAATTTAGAGAAAAGTAGGTGAAAAAACCACGGACTTTTCGTTTTTTAAATTTACAGTGATAGCACAATTAGGAATTTTGAACCATTGGGTTCAACTTCCATTAGGCCGCAAAACAGGACTAGGCCACGCTGTAAAAATTTCAGAACGCACGGGGCCAAAAAATTTGTTTTCCAATCAGCTTAAAAAATTACAAATTTTTAAATCCTATTAGGCTAAACCAAAATCTCATTGGACTACGCCTCCCCGCTATAGTTGCGCCACTGTCATATTAGAACAACTTAAAATATCTTTAACTACTAATAAATCAACGATAAAATATCACCAATAAAGAAGACAAAATAAGCATACCATTTACTCTGATACACAGTACACGAAATGTACAAAGTGCATAATATTCCATTTCTCAATGACATACCATTGTTTTTTATTCACATTCTACAACTTTCTAATAAATATCAAAACAACGTAAAATATTTGTTCTTTCACCTATTTCATCGAGAAAAAAGGGAAGCAATCTACGAGTAGTACGTTGCGTTCAAATTAATCACCTTTTAGTGTTATAATTACCGCATTACCGTCTTGAAAATGGATTCTGTATCATGATTTGATTCCGACGGATAAAGAAAAATTTGGAGTTTAAGACTACCTCCTTGAGAACATTCATCTCAATATTTCTAATGAAAAATAGAAAAACATAAAATAAAGACATCAAAAATCTTCTCTAAGGAACCTTCAAAAGACAATTTTCACCTTGACGCTTACAGATCAGACTAATCTTAGATCCGTGAACTCAACTCGCTTCTTTTTAGATTCTTAAGATATTAGTAGATAAAATATGGCGTGTTTTTCTTATAAAAATAACAGACACCTAAAGATTTCTAACAAGCAAAACATAAAGGAATTATAGGAAGTTCCTGTTGCGTTGATAGTTAGTCATGACGAAGTCGTGATGGTGTTGTTATCATTGAAATGGTTGTAACAGTAATCTAGCTATTAATTGAGATGATGACTATAATCTTTTATTATAAAATATTTAATAAACCCGATTTTCAGGGCTTCTTGTCGTATTCACTGACAATTTTACCGAAAACGTGATCATAAATAGATATTAACTATAGTATCTAAAAAAGGATAGTATTAAATCAATATTGATAAAATTCTAAAGACTTTTTTGCAAACGAGAACACATAATGCACAGTTTTAGTTTCTTTTTTTGCTTATTATTCTACGTTCTTCTTTGCATATTCTCAACTCAGTAAGCAAATAATACGATAGATACGATGAAGAGGGTTTATTCATTCTTTCTGATTGGGAAGGCGCATCCGAGACATGAATCATAAATGAAAGTAAAACGTATTATGTACATCAACATAAAAAACTAAAGATTTCTTTTTACAGAGTGGATTTTGTGACAAAAACAAACAAGAAAATTTAAAAGTGTTCATCTATTTCGCAGACTGAAGTTCAGAATCTCTCAAATTTTTTCTTCAGATTTAATCTGAGTGCTTTTTTTCAAACGTTTCTCTGATCTAATAAGATGAACAAAACGCTAATCAACGATAGTAAAAGGTATCGTTGAGCTCGAGATATTTTGTAAATATAAAGCTTTCTCAAGCAAACACACATTGAATCTAAAATAGATGATCATTCATATATCGCAGTAAGAAGAGAAAACTCTCAAACGCATGTCTTCGTTGATTAGGGGACTACGTTTTTCACGATCGAATATTACATATGTTTTACGACAAAGCTTCCATTTTCGAATATTAAAATAATTAACAGCAAAAAGAAACAAAGATTTAACCATAACTCTCACCCTCACCCTCACCAAACCTTGAACGAGAGAGGCGACGAAGAAACATCATCGTCAAGAATTTGTCTCCGGTTGAAGGCAAAAATGACAGAGAAACTGTCTCTCGTTTCGTACAGGATCATCTTGGTGTCGACATTGGTCCCTCATCTATCGATTTGGTGTGGCGATTTAAAACATCGTCAGCAACAAACAATGGGCGGCCACCACTTCTTGGTGTCTCTTTCAACGATTTATCTGTTCGGTCGTCGATCCTGGCAAATGCGTCGACAATCAGAAACTCATTAAATGATTGTGTTAAAAATGTTTACATCGGTAAGCATTTGACTAAGCAACAATCTCAACAAGCCTATGACGC